AAAGATTATAAATCAATAAAAATTATCGAAAATAAATAGATTTGTATATATATAGTACAAAAATATTAAAAACGATATTTAAAGTTTAGACGGAATAAATATAAGGGATAATGACTTGAAAGGGTAACAAACTTTCGAATTTTGTCACATTTAGTCACTAAACTTTTTTTCGTTATCTATTTGCCATTGAACTATTGAAACTGTTCACATTTTACAGCCGGTCATAAGGGTAAAATGTGAACAGTTTCAATAGTTCAATGGCAAATGGATAACGAAAAAAAGTTTAGTGACTAAATATGAACAGAATCGAAAGTTCGTTTCCCTCTAGAAAGTTCAATGACTAAATGTGAACAAACTTCCTCTTGTATTATGTTTATTTATTTTTGTTAAATTGTAGCAACATTTGTTGATGAAGAAATCTATGAATTAAAAAAAAAAAAAAAAAAACAAAAAAACAAAAAACAAAAAAAACAAAAAAAACCCTGAAAATATATTTAAAAAAAAAAACAAAAAACCAAAACCGAAATACAAAACCAATGGTTTGAAATTTTCCAAAATAAAAATCAAAATTTCCAATCTAATTTTGGTTTTATAAAAAAATGAACCATTCTCACTGATGTGAATTATGATCATTGGTTTGGCATGCGAAATTTGTGACATCCCATGAATATGTAGTTACAACATCGTCTGAACTCGTAATTCATAGTAAGGGGTTAGAGTATCATCGCATGAATACGTAGTTACAACATCACCTGAACTCGTAATTCATCACCTACAGGTTATAGGCCTGCTGGTGTTTCCACTGGGTTATCTAGAATAGTTCGTGGTCGTCATCTATACTCTGGTAGATGACTACATCGCCACATTGCTGGTTAAGGTTATGGTATCTCCTTTCATGCTACATCACATATTCATCATCATCTATATACCTAATTATCATTACATATCTCTTATCATTTTATTTCATCACACACCAACTATTTCATCTACCCATGTTTCATCCGCAATATATTTGTAGATATAAAATATTATACCGTTTAAATCTTTTAAAACATGTATAAAATCGTTCATTCAGCATAGACAGCAAGTATTCAAATAATATGCACACATAGCACGTAATTTACATAAAATACTTCATATCTATGTGTAAGATGAAAGTAACTATATCTACCATAAAAATCCCATAAATGCTTCCTAACTTCGAACCCCAAAGTTTACTCTACTAAAGCTTCATATTCTCGGCTCTCTGAACCTAGAAGGGTCCAGATCTATCACGCCAAAAAGCTCAAGATAGCTCTTCCTCTCACTCTACACACTCAAGCTCGCTAGGGTTCTCCCTTATAGGAAAGGTAGTCGTAATTGAAGGCCATAAGTGCCTTTAAATATGGCTCGGGCCCAAAGATTTAGGGTTTCTGCCAACAGCGCAGACTCGTCGAGTCGCCTCACCGACTTGTCGAGTCCATTCATTAATCCGAGTCATCAGTTGCGACCTTACTCGACGAGTTGAGGCGTCAACTCGTCGAGTCTCTCTTCTTAACTCAAAAGAAAAATACTTAAATTATGATACCTGGAAATCCGGATGTTGCATTTTGTTTTTTTATTTCATAGATTTCTTCATCAACAAATGTTGCTACAATTAAACAAAAATAAATAATTTTGCTAAAACATAATACAATAGGAAGTTTGTTCACATTTAGTCATTGAACTTTTTAGAGGGAAACGAACTTTCGATTTTGTTCACATTCAGTCACTAAAAATTTTTTCGATATCTATTTGCCACTAAACTATTGAAACTGTTAACATTTTACCCTTATAACCGGTAACAGTCGGTTATAAGGGTAAAATGTGAACATTTTCAATAGTTCAATGACAAATAGATAACGAAAAAAAGTTTAGTGACTAAATGTGACAAAAATCGAAAATTCGTTACCCTTTCAAGTCATTATCCCTAAATATAATTTCCGCGCAATTGGAAGAAAGCCAAGTTATAATTGCATAATATCATCTTTCCTTTCCATTTTAATATTATAATTGCATAATATAATATCATCTTTCCAAATCTATGGGTCATGTTAATGGTTGTTATCCAAAACCTTCACGTGCTTCACTGCTCCTCCATTGCATTATTTGCAGTTAGCATAGTCACTCTACGCAACATCCAATGCCCATATGCTATATGCTATTGCTCTTTCCTTCTTCCCCCAACCTTCTCCTTCCGCAACGCTAACTGTTATTAACTACTGATTCTCTCAAATGATCCATCAACCCTTCATTAATCACCCCTCATCAAACCCTTGGTTTCGCCATTGTTGATTTTGAAGATGAGACCAAACCGCATTCAAACTGCCATTGTTTTCCTTTCCTTTTACACACTAACTGTTTCAGCTTTAAATCTCTCTTCGACACCGGAGAACGATGCTTTATCGATTCTAGCATTCAAATCCAAAGCAGATCTCCGCAACAAACTTCCCTATTCCGTTAACTCGAGCTCCACTTACTGTAAATGGCAGGGAGTACAATGCCAGACCGACGGTAAGGTTGTACGACTCGTTCTTGAGAAATTAAGCCTCGCAGGTGTTTTTGCTCCCAACACATTGACTCGCCTAGATCAGTTACGAGTCCTGAGTCTGCAGAGCAACTCGCTCACCGGACCCATACCTGATCTCGCCGGACTCGTTAACCTCAAAACCCTGTTTCTGGACCACAACTCCTTCAGTGGTGTCATTCCGCCCTCGATCTCTTCCCTTCATCGTCTTCGAACCCTAGATCTCTCACACAATAATTTATCTGGTGTCATTCCTGTTGGTTTAACAAATTTAGACCGATTAAACTACCTTCGACTCGATTCAAATCGTTTTAATGGTTCGATTCCACCTCTCAATCAGTCATCTCTTCAGATCTTCAATGTTTCCTTCAATAGTTTATCTGGTCCGGTTCCTGTAACCCCTACACTCACTAACTTCACGGCTTCCTCGTTCTCGTCTAACCCTGGACTGTGTGGTGAGATCGTCCGTACAGAATGCAGCATCATCGGACCATTCTTCGGCAAAAATTCCACGGTAACATCGACATTAACACCGCCGCCTCGAGTGGTGCTAGGGCAAAGCGCGGAAATGGAAAAAGGGGTGTCCGGTGCTACAGATTCCGGCTCGAGAAACCACAAGAGATTAGCACTGATATTTGGTTTCTCAGCTGGAGTTCTGGTCCTAATTTCATCAATAATGTGTGTACTCATATCAATAAAGACATCGGAGAAGAAGAAGAGAAAGGATATTATGTCAACAAGCGAGATAATGGAAATGGCAGCGGCGGCGGACGCAGCCGCGGAGGTAATGAGGATGGAGGAAACAAACGAGTTGGAAGAAAAGGTGAAGAAACTCCAACAGGGGATTGCAATGGGGAAAAGCGGAAACCTCGTGTTTTGCGCCGGCGAAACTCAGCTGTACAGCCTTGAACAGCTGATGAGAGCGACGGCGGAGTTGCTAGGAAGAGGATCGGTGGCAACCACATACAAAGCCGTTCTGGACAACCGTCTAATCGTCTGCGTGAAACGGTTAGACGCCGCGAGATTGGCCGGAACCACCAAGGAGACATTTGAGAGACACATGGAAGCGGTTGGTGGGCTGCGCCACCCAAATCTCGTCCCTCTCAGAGCTTATTTTCAGGCGAAAGAAGAACGACTACTCGTCTATGATTACCAGGCCAACGGAAGTCTCGAGTCTCTCATCCATGGTAAAGCTTCTTTCCCTCATCGTTAACTCAGTAGAACGATTTAATCCCGAGTTGACTCAATGTCGTCACATTCCATTTTTTGACTTTTAGTCAAAATTCGTTGCATGTGATCTTAACATATTTTGCCACGTTAGCATACTTTACAACTTTTATTCAAAAAAAAAAAAAAAAAAAAAATCATCGTAATCTCACTAGATTCACCAACAAGAGGAATCTTTGCAGTTGATGTGTATTTATCGAAAGTTGGTAGAATACGACATCGCATTGCCTGACATTACAGTAATTTAATGGCTCAATACAATAAATAGCGTAGTATATTTCATTTATTTGTGTAGTACTTTTATTTCTCTTATTAAAAAAAATAATAATAATAAAAGTATGTTGTTAATACACAGGTTCAAAGTCAACAAGAGCAAAACCACTACATTGGACATCATGCTTAAAAATAGCCGAAGATGTAGCACAAGGCCTCGCATACATTCACCAAGCATGGAGACTTGTTCACGGGAATCTCAAATTATCCAATGTCCTTCTCGGATCTGATTTTGAAGCGTGTCTTTCCGACTACTGCCTCACCGCCATCTCCAACCTCCACCCTGATGGCGGCAACGCTGATTCCGCCGCCCATGAGCCGCCGGAAACCCGCAAGTTAAACCACCAACCGACCGCCAAATCGGATGTCTACTCGTATGGGGTTTTGTTGCTTGAGCTTTTGACGGGGAAACCGGCTGTGGAGCACCCGCATTTGATGCCGGAAGATATGGTGGAGTGGGTGAAGTCGGTGAGGGATGGTGGTGGTGGTGGTGGGGTTGTGGTGGAGGATCACCGGTTGGTTATGTTGGTGGAGGTGGCGATTGTGTGTAGGGTGAGTTCGCCGGAGCAGAGACCGACGATGTGGCAGGTGTTGAAGATGATTCAGGAGATTAAAGAAGCGGCGGTGGTGGAGGATTATGGGGTGGAATTGGAGCCAACGAATGGGACAGTATAGGGAAAAGGTGATTTGGTCTTTGAAAAAAAAATGTTTGTTGTAAAGATTTTGGTTTTGAAATGAAATTATGATGAGGGATATGGAAAGCACGTTTATATGGGCTTTGAAATCCATGCGATTGTCTAACATGTTATGATAATAGTTGAAAGCTTGTATGAAATGATTTTTTATTTAAATATAATTTTATTGTTGATCATTGCAACTTTCAATCATGGCCATAGTAACTAGCTATTTACTGTTTCATGGACGTCTTTTCTTCTACTTCCAAAGCTCAGCACCCTCACGCTAATGTGTGTCCTTCAACTCCTCCATGACCAACTCTCTTATCTTCAACTAACACCTTGCTCATACACGCTAATGTGAGTCCATCAACTCCTCCATGACCAGCTCTCTTATCTTCAACTAACACCTTGCTCCTTAGGTGCTGTTTGTTTTTTGAAAAAAACCTCTTCAAACCTCTTACTGCTGCGCGGTGCAGCACACGCGCAGCACTTTTCATATCATAGCTGTTTGGTTTTTAGAAGTCTTCTGAGTCAAAAACCTCTGCTCAGCTCTGTTTGGCGCAGCACTTGTACTGCCTCTTCTAACCTCTTCCAACATCTTCTTCTCTTTTTTTATTGCTGAAATTTTAATTATATGTTATTAAAATTTTATTTCACATTTTTTTTTCCGTTTATTCTTATTGAATTTATTTTTCATTTTTTTTATATTCAATAATGATAATTTCTTGATGAAATATCATTATTTTTTACTAAAATATCTTTTATTTTTTGTTGAAATATCATTTTTTTTACTGAAATATCATTAATTTTTACCAAAATGTTATACATTATTAAATTTTACGTATTAAAAAGTTATTTTCGGTTTATAAAATTAGTTTATTTTAATTTTTTAATATCTGCAGCAGTATGCAGATGTTAAAAAAACAAACACGCTTTTTATTATAGTCTGCAGTCGTTTGGTCCACCTCTTCTACTGCAGAGGGTTGCAGAGGTGGTCCGCAGACTTCATGAATTTTTGCTTCAGAAAATCAAACAGCACCTTAGTATCACTTAACAAAAGAAGAGAACGAAACTCGAGGATTTGGAAGGAAAAAAGAGAAGGAAGTCAGTTGATTTGGAAGGAAAACAGAGAAGTTTCCTTAGTTTTTTTTTTTTTAGACAAAACTTCAAAAATGTCTTTGTGATTTTCGAAAATATTAAATTTAGTCTTTAAGTTCAAAAAACATCACATATGGTTCCTATGGCTTCAAATTTTTTAATAAATGGTCATTTTCACTAACTCCATTAGTTTTACGCGTTAAGTAAATGATATTTCTGTCTTTTCACTACCACAAGGATCATTTATGAAGTTTTGCCTTATTTTAATGAGAACAATAATTATTTAATAGTAAAGGCTCTCTCTCTCTCTCTCTCTCTCTCTCTCTCTCTTATGTTCACTAATGAAGTTGCCAAGAACACCCCCTAAAAGCATTATGCAGATCTATTTCACCCTTCCTTTTTTCTTCAGATTCAGTTAATAAATCTCCACCGGAGGTGTAGTTTTCCAACAGTCAAAAAGGCAACAGCCTCCTTCGCATCTCCCCTGCACCTGGCTTGTTGGTGCTTCCTTTATCCTCTCAGACCAACCTTCCTCTTTCACTTCGTGATCCATTTTCGGAGCAAAAGCAAGTAGTCGAGAAGCTGCTTGAGTAGCCCCGTGCTGGACCCACCGAGACCACCAACAGCCCCGGTGCTTCCGTTCCCCTTTCCTTCTTCGGTCCAGTCAAGCACTAAAAGTGCTTCCTTCGATCGGGTTAAGCAACCTTTAACCTCCCACAATCTCTCTTTCATTACTCGATCAGATGAATACAGAGACATGTTCCCTTGGTTCTCAACCGTCAATGACGCAAATTAAACCCGCAAAAGGTCGCCGAAGATCGATCTTCCCACCTCTCCTTGCGATTTGGTCAACCACAACCGGAGCCCTTCGATTCATGCTTCCATTCTTTTCCCCTTCCCAATTTGTTGGAGGAACGAAGATAGATACCTATTCCCCTTTTGTGTATAAGAGGCACAAATTGTTGTGATTTCTCACTTCTCTGAAATGGTTTTTCCAGCTCCAATTCCAAGATAAAGACAAGATGTTCTCGATTATTAATATGTTCAAACCAAACAAATTTTCCAGGTTCTATGATATATATAGACATAAGGGAAGGGAGGCTGTTGGTGAAGAATATGAAGAATATGGTGGGGTATTCTAAAAGGGGTGTTTTTCTTAGAGAGGGAGAGAGAGAGAGAGAGAGAGAGACCTTTAATATTAAATAATTATTGTTTTTATTAAAATAAGGCAAAACTTCATAAATGATCCCTATAATAGTGAAAAGAGAGAAATACCCTTCACTTAACGACTAAAAAGCTAACGGAGTGAGCCGGAAAGACCAAATGTTAAAAGTTTTGAAACCACAGGGACCATCGGTGAGGTTTTTTGAACTTAGGGACTAAACTTGATATTTTCGAAAACCACAGGGACCATTTTTGAAGTTTTATCTTTTTTTAGAAGAGAAGAGAAGAAGAGAATGAATTTGAGCAGATTTGTATCGTTCTAAACTTTCCTCCCAAAATGGAAGGAATTGGAGAGAAAGAAACGCATAGAAGATAAAAAGTTGCATTATGATGAAAATACCCTTAACCTAATAATAAAATGATATGTTCCCTGTCTTATGTTCTACCTTCTTGACCACCTTATGCCTTCTCTGTTACAAACTTGTAACAGGTACGAAAGCTCTTTTTCTTATTGTGTCCATTTTTTTTGTTATTCCTCTGTTCTATGTTCACTTTTTTTTTACTCTGTGTTGTTGCTCTGTGCTTGATCGACTTCTGGTTATAACATCACTGAAGACTGGTTCATAAGGCGTAGAAGTTTTGTGTGACAACCCGGTATTTCGAATCAATGTAATGACCTAAAAAGTCAAGAATTGTAATCTCTTTTGATATAATGAAAATAGCGTCAAAATAAAATGTTCAAAAGTCTCTATTGGGATAAATAAAGTGATAGAGATCGTAAATAGGTTTCCAAAAATATAAAGAACACTAAAATTCGAGTTATAACGAAGAAGTTATGACCGATCGAAGATACGCGACAATACCGGTAAAACACTGTTAAGCATAAAACGAGAAATTTCAATAAAATACTTTTCAACCTTAGGTGTCTAAATGAAAGTTGTAGATATTCCAAAACCGTAAACATACATAAAAAGAACGCTCAAATCTGACTTCATATGAGGAAATTATGATTGTAACATTAAGTATAGTAAATATCAAAGTAGGAGAAGTGTCGAGTTGTTATGGTTGAACAACTTCATCGATTTTGGATTTAGTATATGGTTCAAGTAATCTGATCAGATTTCTAATTTACATTCTACTTCTACAAATGGGGCCTAAATGGGGTCTCATAACCGTTTTTGTAATCTCAGGCATATGTTTTATCCTTTTTTTTATTGTAGTTTTCACTAATCAACAATGTACTTTAGAACCAGCACATAACCAACGGTTAGGTATCCTTTATCCCGCTAGAAATGATGAAACTACCCAACCATCAACATGATTTGGTATCTTTTATCCCACAAACTTATGCAAGTTACGTGCGAATGTGTCACACCCCAAAACCAAGAATGGCGGAAACGTTCTGGGGCGGAGGACGTCATGTACAGTATCACAACAATGAAAAGTAGTAAACAAGCAACAACATCATCCATTGCATTAATAATATAACTATTATACAAGTGTGTTCTGTCAAATTTTGATAAACACTAAAGCATAAATCAAAATGAAAGATGAGTCTTGAACGAGCTCCATCTTCTCTAAACCTTGCATCGGTACCTGTCTATGTTTGACCTGAAGATACAAGTTATTTTGAAAGAGAGTATCAGCTTTGAAGCTGGTGAGATCATAAGTATTTTAGTGTCTTAATGTATATGTAAGAAATTGTTTGTATATGAACTGTATGTATGGAAAATGTATATGAACTGTAAGTGTAAAAATGTTTGTAAAACAACTGTAAACGTTTGAAAAACCCTAGAAATCCCTATGATTCCTACTATTATATAAGGGTGTCTTCTACCAAGACCTAACTGTTCTCAATGTAGCCTTCTACAAAGACGTAACTGCTCTGAATGTTTGTTTCTTGTAAAAGTGTGTAATTTTCCCAAGTGTAACTATCATTAACAAAATATAGTTTTTTTACATTTAAAGTTTAAGTGAAAAGATCACTAAATATATGTATAGGGAAAATTAATGTAGTACTGAAGCGTAGCGCTATAGAAACTACTGTTGTACTAACTACCTTAAACCAGAATTATATTAAGGCATCATGTGATTAATTATACCATACTATCGACTGGATAACAACGACAAAGGTAGGTCGTAAAAAGAAATGACGTTTGGCACCCGCAGACCTGCAGGTCCGGCTGTAGCTAGCAGCAAGGTATAGGATAGCCAATCCAGTATAGATTTATACGCAAACTCACGCTCTCCCTCCAAGAGACTCTGGCTACAACTCGGGCCATGACATTGAAGTCATGCTCCGATACAGTGGATCACAATTGTTAATGTATTCATGTATATGTAATGTTGTGTTACTCGTTCTAGTATCGTTTGTATATGTTCTCTTCCTCGTATAATCGTATATGTTCTCTTTCTAGTATAGTTGTATATGTTCTCTTTCTAGTATAGTTGTATATGTTCTGTAATGTTCTAGAAAGTATTGACTCATGAATGAACTGACTCATTGTATTATATCGCGTTCTAGTAATAGTTCTAGTATCTTCCTAAACTACCCATATAGTAGTTTACTAGTAATCTAACTGGTACGTATAGACATGGATGTATATCCTTGCTACCCAAGGGCATTGTATGTACTGGAAGGACCTTTATGACTATATATGTACACATGATATATAACAAATATTTAAACGACCTTCGGACGGGTACCCGATATCCCACTAGACCACATCTTAAGCGCGAAAAGGAAATAGGGTGGATAGCCTTCCAAAGTCTTTTAAACATTCCTTATATAAATATACATATATAGGCATGCAATTTATAACATAAAAGCATAAAGTAAGTTTTGTAAAACCTTTGAACATAATTATTATCTAAGAAAATATTGACTTGTTGTCAATCTAGAAAACGGTTTGAAGGCATAGGTTTGATAAAACAGTTTAGTATAAAGAAACATTTGTTTGAAACACAATTGTAAATGAGTTTGAAATGAAACATACAGAGTAAAATGTACAGTGTAATAAGGAGTTTTAAACACATAAAGTGTTTATGAAAAACATTTGAAGGAAACTGTTTGGTAAAACGGGTAATGAGTAGCCAATCATTTGAATGATGCTTACTAATCACATGTGATTGATATAGTAACTAGCATGATTCTACTTGTATCCCCCCCCCCCCCATAAAACATTTAAAAACAGTTAAAACATTGATTAAGGGGTATGAACTCACCTGTTGTGGATGATACAAATGAATTGAAGAGGTAGGACTGCTAGGTGTCAAGTGATGACTTTAGACACACACAATGGTCCTAATTACATATGAAGACATATGTATATAAACAATTAGTGATTATAACACTAATTAAACATGTATAAACATCCTAATGCGAGGAAAACACTTTTGTCAAGTGCTAGGAGGCTAATGGGTTGCAACAAAGGAGTGCAAGACCTCATATGGAAGTTTATGGTCAATAGACCAAGTGTGTTGGAGTTTACGGCCCATGGGAGTAAACTCCTGGCCGTAAACTCTATATTAGGTCTCTAAATGAAGCTAAAAGTTATTACAACTTAAGTGGTGAAGTGCTTCAAGGCTTACTAGGGTGTTAGGGCTTCCTTTTAACTCCTTTGAGGAGTTCACGGCCCTGGGACCATATCCCTTGGAGATTACGGTCGTAATCTCCCTTGGGAGGGTGTTTGTGGTGTTTTCAAGTCCCTAATTTAACTAGGAACTAAACTATGTTAGTGTACAAGGCTTTAGAAGAGTTTATAACACCATTTGGCACTATTGTTTGGAGTTCAAGGCCCTGGAACTTCTTGGGCCGTGAAAACCTTACTCTTGGTGTTCTAATGGTGTTTGCTAGTCCTAAACTCATTAGGGTACATGTCTAAATTCAAGCCTAAGCCTTAGGAAGTGTTTGTGGCATCAAAATACCCCTAACTTGAGTTTTAGGCCCATGTACCATTTGGTCATGTGTTTGCGGCCATGAACACCTATGGGTGTTGGTATTTTGATTGTTTTGGGTCCTAGACACATCAAGGTAATGTGCTATGCTAGTCTCTTGGTTCAATGAAGGCATTTAGGTCATTTTGGCACCTAAAAATGGAGTTCACGGCCCAAGAACATCCTTGGTCGTGAACTCACTTCTAGCCTTTGCTTCTAATTGATTTTGTGGTCTAAACATGTAATGGTGTCTTCTAGTTTGAGTTCCAAGGCTTTGAGGGACATTGGGCACTCTTTTGGCCCTTAAAAAGGAGTTTACTCCCCAAGGTGTTCTTGGGTGGTAAACTCACAGATCTTAGTGTTTTGACATGATTTTGATGTTATTAAACACAATCTAAGCTATATAATACAACTAGATAGAAGTACTCACGATTTGGGATAAAAACCCGAAGATCCGTGAGAGAGAATTCGGATTTTCTCTAGTTGGAAATATAACTAATGAATGAATATGGTTCAGATTCCTATATATAGTCTTGAGATTTTTGGCAGAAAATATTTTATTTTCGGAATGAACTCTAATATCATAGAGTATTGGAATAACAGTGTTGCACAAAACCCTGGTGCATCCACTCTCCTGATATCTCCTTAAGTGCTAAACC